AAAAAAAAAAAAAAAAAAAAACTTTGAAGAGCCAGGGCATGACTTACTCACTACTCCTCTTCTGCCAGTGAGGTAGCATCACAGCATGGATTACCACAGATCTTCCTGGAAGAGAGCATTTGAAAGTCTGGGTTTGGGGAAGGGCAAGTCATGGATGGGAGACAGGAGAGGAGAAAGGCTGGCTGGTTAGTCAGTGGGGGCCTGGGAAAGAGTTGAGGGGAAGGGAAGTGTGTACAGATGTTGGGCCCTGGGCAGGTGCCTTACAGAGAATGTGGACAGCAGCTGAAGAGAGTGGAATTTAACTAGGTAACCTTGGACAAGAGTGTATTACTTTCCTAGAGCAACCATGACCACTAGATGGCTTAAAGCAACAAAAATTTACCTCCCAGCTCTGTGAAAGGAAAATATGGGCAAAGCCTCCTCCTGCAAGTCGAGGGGAGGAGCCTCCTGGCTTCTTCTGGCTCCTGTGATTGACTGCCATTGCAGTCTCCACCTGTCATCCATGTCATCTGTTCCTCTACCACTGTGTGTCTGTCAAGACTTCTTTCTTCTTATAGGAACGCCAGTCACTGGATTGAAACCACCCTAATTATGACTTTGTCATAATATGTTGACATCAGCTAAGACCCTATTTCCAAGTAAAGTCATGGCCACAGGTCCTGGGTGGACATGAATTGGGGGATTTTAAATCCCAGTACAGGGAGGGAAAGGAAAGCTGATGCACAATGAGGGCCTGGCTGATGTTCCGCAGTGTGATCAGTGATGCCAGCTCCAGCAGCACACACATGACAAGTTCATCCCCAATTGGAGGGACACAGTGGCAGGCCAGGAGGGCAAGAAAATGTGCTAAACAGCTAGTGAGGGGAAAGGTCGAGATGCGAGAAGCTTAAGGGTTTGAGGGGTCCCAGTGAGATCAGTGTAGTCTCTTTTAGGAGCAAGGGACAGGTGGGATTCTGAGGCAGGGTGCCATCTTAAAGTGGCCACAGGGGATTGTGGGTATATGGAGATGGAGGAAGTATGATTGAGACTAGGAGGGGGGTGTGTAGTGGTCATAAGGGTGACACCCTCATAGAGAGTCCAGCAGACACAGTTAAGATTAGACAGCTTCTTTATGACAGAGGACACAAAAACTTTGCTTAGAGACCACTGCACAAAGCAGGAGACCATGCAAGAGCTCTGAGGAGGTTCCATGCCCTGGACTCCCTGCCAGCTCTCAGTTCAAAATATGGCCCAGGAGACTCTGACCTAATTGTGTGTGAGAAATGGACTCTCAGGCCCTATTCTGGCTGCTCCGAATCAGCATCTTCTGACTAACCGGACCCCTGGGTGATTTGCATGCTCACTGAAGTTTGAGTCACTGCCCTAAGAGTCCTCAAAGGGCCACAGCCGCCACGGCTGCCTGTGCAGTATGGGGAATCTGCCAGCCTGAGAAACTTGTTTCCTTCTGTCCACACACAGCCATCTTTACCCCCTCACCCTGACCTCCTCGCCAGATACAAAGCAGTCACCACTTATTGCCACATTTTGCCAGACTGGAGCACAGAAGGCCAGGCCCCAGGGATCTGGCTGCTCCACGGACCAGTGGAGAGTGGAGAGTGTGAAGTTGCTCCACAGAGCGCCTGAGGCAGGCAGGGAGGAGGGAGTCCGTCCAACCGAAAGATTTACATGCTGGGGTCAGCAGACAACAGCAAGCAATGAGGACAGGATGAGAGGAGGAGGTGGCCTGGCACACAGGGAGGACAGGTGCAGGCAGAGATGGGCCATTCATCTCCAAACCTGGCTGGAGTGGTGCTGAGCTTTGCAGCTACCACTTGTGTGTGCAGCATGGAACAGGCATTGCAAGTAGCACAGATTTCGGCAATCATGAGACTTATCTATACAGATTTGCTCTCTACTTCCTGGTACCGCTCAAGTGATTGAGTTCTTCCACCTGTGTGGCTAGCCTGACGCTGGATGGTTGGACAGGGAAGGGAAGAATGCTGCATGGCCCCAGCCTCTGAGATGCTCTGAGATGGTCTGGCTGAAGAAAGATAGTTTACCCTTTAGAAAGTACAGGAATATAAGATCTGAAGTCCTATTGTCATAGCCAAGGCCACGGGTGCTGTTGCCTAGTCACAAATACGCATCATGGCTGGGAACAGACGATGCTGGACCAGCCCTTGATCACCTTCTGTGTGAAGATGATGCCACCACTCCCCTCAGTGTAACCAGAAGGATTAAATGGGGGCAAAGCTCGTGGTGGAGCCTCAGAGAATGTGAACTGACAAACTGGGCAGGAGAAATAATGGGAGGCCCTGTATTCATTCACTGAGGGGGTCCTTACTGCAGACAGGGTGGCATAAACAACAAAGATGTGTCCTCTTAGAGTTCTGAAGTTCAGAAGTCCAAGGTCAAGGTGTAGGCAGGGCTGTCTCTTTCTGAGCCTGGGAGGGACAGCCCTTCCCAGGCCCCTCCTGACCTTTTCCTTGGTTGTTTTTACCTCACTTGGGGTCCTCCTGTGTGCTGTCCGTATCCAAATTTCACCTTTTTACAAGGACACCAGTTGGATAAAGGCTCACCCTAATGACCTCTTCCTTACCCTTTACCTGGATAAAGGCTGTGCCTCCAAACATGGTCTCATCTTGCAGCACTACAGTGCTCTGGGACTTGCACATAGAATTTTGAGGTATAACTCAATCTGTAATGGGGCCCTTTAGATTTCATGAAGGGCAAAATCTCTGACCTCACAAAATGGTCTTAGAAATGTAAGGTCTATGCAAACGGACTTCCTTTCTGAACAGTAGCACTGATAAACAGTTATAATAATGAACACTGGTTTTCAGTGACATGCTCTTTCTTGTTTTTGGCACCAGGGATCAAACTCAGGACCTTGCGCTTGCAAGGCAGGCAGCGGCAACACTGAGCTAAACCCCGCCCAGTGACCTGCTCTTGATGAAAGAGATATGTTTGTTGTTCCCCTAGGCCTTGGAGACATGGCTGTCTCTAACACCATAGGAAGCAATGTGTTTGACATCCTAGTGGGACTCGGCATCCCGTGGGGCCTGCAGACCATGGTTATTAACTACGGATCCACGGTAAGTTCATTTTATTGCATAAGGAAATGGGATGGATGTGTGTTGCATAGAATACCGGCATTTGCCCAGTTCCAGCCCAGCGTTTTGGCACCTTGCCACCCTCTTACTTTGATGGCCACCCAGACAACCTATGTGTGTCCTGGGTTACCAAGGGTTGGTCACTGCCTTCCAGCACCTGTCCCTGTTCTAGGCCAGGTCCTCAGATGAGCTGAATCCAGACTGGAACCCACATTGTCCTGATTCCCCACAACCATGTTGCTTACCTGAGGACTCCCACATTTTCCTGACAAGGGGATGAGTAAACCAGAGCACAATGGGCTTTCAGGGTTTATTGGCCAAGCCCTGAGACTCACAGGTGTGTGTTTGATTTTCCAGGTGAAGATCAACAGCCGGGGTCTGGTGTATTCGGTAGTGCTGTTGCTAGGCTCCGTCGCTCTCACCGTAAGTCTTTACACTTCCAAATTAGAAGCCTCTTGTATGCTGCATGGCTTCTGATTCTTCCTTATCCCAAGCATGACTCCAGACATTTCCCCGTCCCTTGTCCCTGTCAGTGAGGGACGAAGCCAAACCCAGTTTTGCCAAGAGCATCTGCGGGCATCATAGCATTTTTTCCTGCACAGCAAAGATGTCACCAGGGGAAGTGAATTCCCCCCCCTTTTTTTTTCTTCTTAGTGCCTGGCCCAGTGTTTGCTCTCTCAAGTGCTAGAGGGAGAGAAATCTCCCCCCTCCAAATGAGCTGAAAGTGAGGGTATACTGGGCCTCAAGAAAACACGTAATGATCGTCAAGGCCTCCTTCCTCCTTGTGCCTGAATTTGTGCTGAGCACTTTACTTCTGCATTACTGTATTCCATTCTTACGCCACCTGATTGGGTGGGGGGGTGAATACTATCATCCCTGTTTTGCAGAAGAGATGGAGGGTTCTGTGCCTTGTCCAAGGTTGCAGAGGTAGAAATGGCAATGTTAGGATTCGCATCCAGGTCAATTTGTCTTTATAGAGCTCTGTGCCCTGCAGAGGTAACCGTGGTTCAGCCCTGGAAGCCTTGATTCAGGGACAAGAGGGAGGGCAGTGCAAGAGAGCATACCCCCCCATAAAAAAACCAAAGCTGCAGCTTTACAGGAGCCATGGGAAATTTGCTCAAAGAAAAAGACCAGTGTTCTGAATCAAAGGGCAAGACCCATTAGTCCCTAGAAAAAGCCTGGGACACATGTGTCCTGAGGAAGTGGCCTGCTGCCTGGGGAGGGTCAGTGCCATGAGGGTAGCCTGAGTGTGCAAGGGTCAGTGGGCCTGGCTGGAGACTCACCCTGCTGTTGTCAAGTCTAAACATTCAGGGCTGATTCTGGTCAACCTGAGGATGGGCCTGGTGGGGCCCATTTGCTCTTGCTCACATTGTACAGAAAGTTCTGGGTTTGTTTACACACATGCTCATTTTTAGTCAAAAAGCCCTTGTTGTTTGTTGCCCCCCCATCCCAAGCCCAGCTGTTGCACTCTCTCCTCCCAGGTCCTTGGCATCCACTTCAACAAATGGCGGCTGGACCGGAAGCTGGGCATCTACGTGCTTGTCCTCTACGCCGTCTTCCTGTGTTTCTCCATAATGATAGAGTTTAACGTCTTCACCTTCGTTAACTTGCCCATGTGCCGAGAAGACGAATAAGCAGAGCCGCCGCCTTGGGAGCTGCTCTGGCCACCCGTGCCGCTGGCGACCTCTTCTCTCTCTCCTTCCCCACCACAGGTCTGTCCTGCCTCAGCAGCCACCGTCTGTTCTTCATGAGCTGGAAGGAAGGGCCGTTGTGGTCTTTGTGTGGTCACGGGCCAGCTGCTGGGCACCCGTGCCACCTTGGAGTCCTGCTCCACTTGAGGCAGGTTTGGGGGTTCATTTGAATTGAGCAGCTCCTCGGACCCCTGAGCTGCCAGCCACAGGGATGGATGTCTCATCTCTCTCATGCTGCCGTCAGAGGACCTCTGCGTGCAGTTTTCTTTCTGTCACACAGGCAGCCTTGGAATGAGGCAGGCAGTGAGGGCGAGGTCTCCTGGGGCAAGTGCGAAATGGGACAGTTGCTCTTGTGTCCCCTCTGGGCCACAGGGTGAGCCCCCTAGGCAGCACATGCCACCAGCTGGTAGCTCTTGAGGTTTGGAGGAAGTGAGCATCACCTGCTAGGAGTTTGAGACCATTATGGCTGACTCACCACTCCTTTTTCTGGAAAAAAAAAAAAAAGAAAAGAAAGAAAGAAAGAAAGAAAGAATGGAAACTTTTTTCTCCCCAGCAGAAGAGAGAAAAGCAAACAAAATACTCTTATGCTTTTTATTGATGCATTCAGAGAATGAGCAATTATTATTAAAAGTAAAACATCATATAGATCATCATACTTGAAAAATATCATTCCACACAAAAGGATCATGACAGGAACCAAAAAAGTAACCCTTGTAGAAAGTGAATCCTGTGTTTGTCATCCTGCTTTGGCTCTAAGACTCTTGGTTTGGAATTTAGAAAGAGGTGAAAACCTACCATGGAATCAGGTGCTAACTCAGAGACACAGTAGGGTAAACTGCAACATTTACAGCTAGACATTCCAGAACATTCCAGACCTTCTGCGTGATGGGACATACTGTCTCTTCGAGCGTGTTATTTCTTTGTTATTGCTGTATTTTCAAAGTCACCTTGGAGCGACCCAGTTGTTTATATGCTCAACAAATTTCAGAAGTGATGGTTCATGACAAGAAGACAGATTTCCTGAAACACAGCAAATTGCTGTCTGGCTAGCTGAAGGCAAGTATGAAAACCGTATCTTAGAGTGTTTAGAGCTAAGTTTCTTGAACCTTATAGTTTGCTACACATGAAAGTGAGGTGTGGGGGTTGATTCAAAAATAGAAACTATGAAATAATGTTAAGCTGCTTCATAGATCTAAAATACATATATTTAAAGATTTAGGAACATAAACCATTCTTGGGTTCTAACAAGAAAGCACAAATTAATTTTATATGGAGTGGTTTTTTATTTTTTTAATGTTTCTATTGCAAAAGTCTATCAGATATGATGCACTTTTAATATTAAGATATTTTGCACAGAAGAAGGTATGGGACTGACCCATAGTGATGTGAGAAGAAAGGGTTTTAGTGATTCACCAGAAATTGCTTTAAACTTGGTGATGATGAGTCTAAATCCAGTAGCTAATCCCTTCCTGAGATGCAGCTCTCATGACCCACATTGGAATTTCTAACTATGTTCTTTAAGGCCTCTGGAATTTCCAAAGGAGGAAGTGTTCAAGCTTGTGTCTCTTAAGTTCCTCAAGCATGAACCCCCTGCAGGACCTCATTCCCATTACCAGGCCTCTCTTCGGGGTTCACATCAGTATTAGTAGCTACACCAAGTCAAGGCTTCACTTTTTGTTCCTCTCCCTGGATATTGGTCTCAGCAGTCTTTGAATTAGAACAGGAGTGATTTTCCTAAGAAATTAGCTCAGCAATAGGCTGGGTGTGGTGGCGCACGCCTGTAATCCCAGAATTTGGGAGGCTGAGGCAGGAAGATTGCTGTGAGTTCAAGACCAGCCTGGGCTACATAGTGAGTTCCAGGTCAGTCTCAACTACATAGTGAGACCCTGTCTCAAAAAAACCAAAAAACAAAACAAAAAAAAAACAAAAACAAAGAAATTAGCTCAGCAGGAAAGGAGGGAGCCCGTAGATGCATCAGAATGAACTGTAGTTTCATAGGATTTCAGATCCACTGGGGACCCCTGTGTGTGCTAATGGCTTAGTTCACCTGGTACACACACACACACACACACACACACACACACACACACAACTGTTTCACAGACTATGCAGGTTCTGAGTTCTTCTGTTTCCATTTTGATTCTCCTAGCCACCCTGTGATGTAAGTAGGGATTCCATTTAATAGCTACAAGTTTAGTCTTGAAGAGGTCAGGTGGCTCTAGTTACTGGCCAGTAAGTAGCAGAGCTGGGCCAGGCACCAGCACAGTTCCCTCCTAGCTCAGCCGGGCCACTTGATTGGCCAGCCTGGGATAGTGGGCGTGGCCACACAAGGCTATGCCTTTGCCCTTGTCTGGGTTAAAACCTTGTCAAGTATCTGATTGGTTCCTGGTTCTCCAGGCCATCTCCTAACATCCGTCCTCCCATGGTCCTATTTTTTCCTGAAAAAGTCCAAAAACTCCTTAGTTACAGCATGGCACAGGCTATGTGACCTCTGAAGAATTCCCTACTGGTTTTCAATTCTCTGAAATCCTTGTATAGCTTTCAGAGAACATTTCCCAATTACCCTCCTCTTCTTCTGCAGAATCCATTTGAGGTTATAAAATATACTGCAGTTGCAGCTAGAGATTTAAAAAATTATATTTTTAATATATAGTTTACTCCTCTTGGCTAGTTTTCTTTGGACTTCAATGTGCCAATGTAACTTCCTTAAAGGCTCTATGCATTTATTATATCTCAGAAACTATATTACACTATAGTCAGAAAATTCTGTTTTTAACTAAATATTTTTCCATCAGAAGCTTAAAGAATTCCTTGATAATTTAGGCCTTCATTTTTTAAAACACCGTTTTGCAGGATTACTTCTTTTATTTTATCCTCACAGCTATTTAGCTCATTAGCAAGGAGTAATTACTTCTGCTACAAAAATAGACCGTTAAAAAGACTGCATGTAGCTCTTCCCATTTGGGGTTAGAAAGTAAAAATGAACCACTGCATTCAGATGGAAAATGTCTATAGAAGCAGGAGCAGGTGGTCCCTGGCTATTTCCAATCGGGAATTTACCTCACCAGCCTGAGCACCGCAGTGGACAGTGTGTAGTATCTTGGGAACCTGGCCCTGGGGCTCATTATGGATTAGCGGCCCTGAGAGAATGAAAGTTAAGGGCACTGTGGGCAGGTCAGCCTTGTCCCCTTCCCAGCCCCATCCTCCCCAGAACTCAGTCTCTAGTCTCTGGCCCTGTGCCCCTCCACCTTGTCTCCTGTGTCTCTGCCTTGTACACAGACTTGGCCGCCCTTGGGTGTTCCACCTCCTCCTTATCCCCCTCACCTGTGAGGACAACCTCTGGCTTTTGCCCAGCTCCCCTCCCAGCCTTTGTAGACCTGGCATTGAAAAGGCACAGACCTTCCCATAGCCAGGTTGAACCCGACAAGGTTTCCATCTGACCCAGGGGCATCCTGAGGACCCAACCAAAGACCCCCATCTGGGGCTGCCCCATCCTCCTGCACTGGCTCTTCCTTGGTGATAAGGCCTCACAGCCTGATCCCAGTTGTCACCACACCTCAGAGCCCCAGAGCCCTTTCACGGGGTCTCGGAAGAGCTTGGGGTGCATCCTTGCACCGTACCTGTCTGTCCTCCTGGCCTTCTCCTCCTTGAATCCTACAGTCCCTCCCTCACCTTAATGTGGAGGGAGGGCCAGGGGCAGGAGGGACCAGGAGAGACATTCATTGCCCCTGGGAAAAGCAGGAGAGGAGGCCAGAGCCAGGGTGAGACTGCTTTCTGCTTCCTTCTCTGGTGTGCAGTGGGCTCATGGGGCTAAGGCACTTGAACAGCGGGGTCCTTTCACACCTTTTGGAGTTTTTCCCCTGGGAGTCAGCAGTTGAGAAATCTGAGAGCTCCAGCGCCACCCCCACCCCCTGAACATCTCCAGGCCAAGCACTTGGTTGCTGGGTTTCTTGGTCTCTGCAGCTTGTCACATGAGCCCCTTAAGGGTGACATCTCCCACCAGGCTTTCTCAGGCATGGAGAAAGGGCCCGTTCTCTTTAGGTGAATCTTCCTCCCCCACTGTCACTCATGGAAATGAAAGAGGCCCAACCCACAAGGCGAGAATGCGGGTTCTATGGCTGCCTGTGTGGGCCTGTGGCTCGCTGCAGAGGAAGTCCCCCAAGGGCACACAGTACAGGGTCCAGAGTGTGAAAAGGCAGCTCTGTAGGTTGTAGTTGCTTGACAACTGCACTTCAGGCCTGGTGGCAGAGGGGAGAACCTGTGGCTTGTCGCACTGCTGCCCATCGTGAGCAAGTGGGTGCCTGTATACAATTGAGGCAAGGGGCCTTTCTCCCTGTTCTGCGACCCACAGGAGCTGTCTTTTCAGAAAAGCCAGACAAGTGGTAGAAAAGCTTTGAATGTTTTATAGGAGGGTTAAAAAATGTCAACAGCAAATGGCGTCCAGGTTGCATTTATCATTGCTGGACCCTCACACTTGCAGGCACACACTGCCAAGGACACATGCCCTGCTTTGTGACATCTTTTGCCTGTGTGGGTCTAAGACACTTTGTCCACTCTGATGGTGTCAGTGTCTAGCTGTCCAAGTTGTGTATCTTCCTCTCACTTCTTGGCAGGGGCTAACAACTTGCTCTTTTCTAGACCGAATACCCTGGCACCGGACTGGGGGCTGCAGGAAGCATCTATAAGAGGTGAAAACACACACTGCCTGTGCGAAGGCCAAGGCCTTGTCCATGTGGCCGCTCCTTAGTTAAAAGCCCATTGACAAGTACGGGCACTGCCCACACCTATTCCCACTCTGTTGCCAGAATCCAAACACTTGCTCCTTATGCGCCATGTTGGTTGGGACTTTTCCATCTCCAAGGCCAGTGAAACCCTCATTCCTGGAGAAAGCACAAAGCTTCTACATCCTGTCACTGGAAAACAATTTTTTCAGAGAAGGACCATGTAGGTTTTGGTTTTCTAGACCCGCAGTTTGGAATAATCAGGCTTTTTATACAAAGCGAGGGGGCTGGGGGTTTAGCTCTGTGGTGCCACCACCTGCCTCGCAAGTACAAGGTCCCGAGTTCCATCCCCGATACTAAAAAAACAAAACAAAAAGCAATAAATACAAAGGGAGGGTCCCAGGCCCCAGAGCCCTCCTCTCCATCTCTCCCGAATTCCCAATAGAATTGCCTTCCAACAGAAGAGGCCTCTCCTCTCCTGAAGGGGAGCAGGGCTGCCCTGTTTCCCTGAGCATTCCAATGGACTCTTCCGGCCCCTGGGCATCCTGCCTCACATGGCATCTAGGCCCCGTTGAGCTTTAGACCCCATGACCCACTCTCCATTTCCCCGTGTGGCTCACACAAGGGGTATTTGGGGACCCAGCAGGCAGAGCTGTGGCTGAGCCGCTGTGGCTGGCCCTGGGGTCCCCTCGTGTGTAAGACTTGGCCTCCATCTCACAGCACTTACACCCTGGCATGCGCCTCTGCCTGTGTCTCCCTTCCAGCTGGGAGCAGTTGCTGGTGTCTGAACACAAAGAGGTCTTTGATTTCCCAGAGAGGAAAGAGGCTGCTGGCCAGCTGGGGCCAGGCCCAGGGCAGACGCAGGATCGCCAAGGCCAGGGCCAAGCAGGGTGGAGAGGAAGACTGGCAAGGTTTCCCCAGGGTGTATGGATCTTTTTGGGGCACAGCCGGAGCCTCCTTAGAAACAACCCAAACCCAACCTCTGGGGATATCCACACACGGCTTGAGGCCCCCACAAGACATTTCTGGCAGGCTGGGCTGAGTGCCACCATCTTTGTTCATTCTCTTTGACAGTCAGAACAGGAGCAATGGGTCAGAAAGTTGTAAATAATAAATATATTTATGCCGCTATTTATTTTTTCAATACCTGTGGCCTCTTGCACTGTGAATGCTTGTGATATGAGATTCTTAGTTTAATAAAATTGTCATAAAATTTGAATGAATTGATATTACTGGTTCCTAAACACTGGCATGAATTTACTTTTATTGTGAAGAAAAAAAATCTAGAGTAAATATGAACTAAACTTTCCTAAGAAACCTAGCAATCAGTATTGTAATGCAATATATCAAAAATCTGTACACTGTCAATAAAATAAATGAGCACAAGTCATCTTGCCCCATGTAGAGCTTCCATTCAGATTTTCAGAGACACAAACATATTTGTATTTTTTGAAAGAATTACCCTGGAAAAACAGCCATTGGAAACCATTTCTGTTTGCATATTGAGAAAAAATAAATTTCAAAAAGGATGTGAGGTTGGAGCTTTTTATTGTAAAGGTTGGAAATTAATAAAGCAAAGCACAACTTGTACCTGGTGGGCTGGCATGAATGAGCCCCAAGTGTCCCCCTTTCCCACCTTGTCACCTTCATGGACAGTCACACTATTCATCGCCCCACATCTAAAGGACTCTAGCTTGGTGTCACCATCTTGAAAATCTTCATGACTCTTTAAAAAGGATCCTGCGTTGCATTTTGCACTGGACTCTAAATTATGTAGCTGTCCAGCTAATGAGGAAGTTTGTTTCCGTCATTGGCTCTTGTGTCATGGGAAGTGAAGAGTAGAGGGTAGAAGTTCTGGTTAATTTCTTCCTCTGCAAACTTCTGAGTCTCAGCTGCCCTGAGTGCCACCAACAAGCATGTGAATCATGTGGACATCTTTGGGTGTGGGGCAGGGGGACAGGTATTGGGGGTTGAACCCAGATCCTTCACACTAAACTATATTCCCAGCCCCTTTTGTTTTTTATTTTGAGACACTAAATTGCTGAGTTGCTGGCCTTGAACTTGTGATTCTCCTGCCTCAGTCACCAGAGCACTGGG